TATTTTAATTCTACTTATACATGAAACTCAACTACTCAACTCGAGTTCAATTGGCACTTAAAGCAAAACTTATATTAAATTAATAATAAAACTTAGTATAAGTGCAATAAAATAAATAAGAAGGAAAAAAAAGAAAAAAAGCGTGTACACAACCAGCATAGAGCCACACTTACAACCGGTGCAGGACCAAATTTCAAATGAACCCCTAAGCCATCGCAAACATGCATAAGCCTGGCAACCGATAATACTTAACAACAATTCATTTTCCAATCGTGACGACTTTTAAGGATAAAAGCTAGTTTAAGCAATACATCGCGCGTATTAAGCAATGTTGCTTTAATGGACTTTAAAGATTCCAAAAACGAGAATAAGTGATAGACGTCAGTTAGGTTCTTGCAAACTACTCTGAGCGGATTAAACAGCTCATAATTATATTTACATTGGCTAAGCTTAACCAAGACAAAGTATCTAGAGAAGCGGTTAGGGACATTAAAGCTTATTTCACCAAGTAATCAAGGCGAGTCAATCGCACCATTTATTACTTTGATTACAAAGCAAACGCCAAGAACAAACCTATGTTTCTCACGAGGCGGTAAGGACAGCAGAAGCAACCTATTTTCATAGGGAGGAAGAGAGGCAATCGGATCCCAATCCAAATTTCTAAGAGCAAACAGCAAGAATTGTTTTTGAACAGATTCAATTGAATCTACATAGCACCTATATGAAGGAGACCACACAATAGACGCTTACTCGAGTATGGGTCTAACCAAACACATATACAGCCTTTTCGTAATGTAGGGATCATCAAGCTCTTTGGACCACCTTTTTATAAAACCAAGCGCGGACCTAGCTTTGCTTATCGAGAGCTTAATATGCAAGTTGAAATGTAACCTATGGTCAAATTGAACGCCTAAATCCGTGATCGAATCGACGTCCTCCAACTTATACGAATCTATGAAATACTGAGTAATGAATGACTTTCTTCTTGGGAAAGAAAGCTTCTTACATTTACTCAGATTTAGTTTCGAAGATTCAAAGAGCACCATGCAACAAAATTATCTAAGCCACCTTGAAGCTGATGTGATTGCGAGTCAACAGAGAAGGAGGAAATCAGTCTGGAATTAACCATCGGTGGGAGATCGTTAACGTATAAATTAAATAAAATGGGACCTAAGTGACTTCCTTGAGGTACGCCAGACATAACGGGGAATTCATCCGAGGTGATGAAGTTAAACAAAACTCTGAAGGATCTATTGTGCAGATAAGGGCTTATCCATTTCACTAAGTAGAAAGGGAAGCCAGAGGCTTGGAGTTTAAAGATAAGTAAGTTATGGTTAACCATATCAAATGCTTTGCTTAAATCAGTGTATATCATATCTGTGCGAGAGCCACTAGAAAAAGCCTTGAAAACATGACAAGTAAACCCTAAAAATTTAGTGACTGTAGATCGCCCTTTCCAAAGGCCAAATGCTGAGTCACAATACGCTCAAATAACTTAGGCAAGACACTCAACTTGGCTATGTTTCTGTAGTTCTCAACAAATTGTCTACTTCTACTCTTGTGGATAGGAATAAGGAAACTACTCTTCCAACACGAAGGGAAAACACCTAAATTCAAGGACAGGTTAAAATTCTTTGAGATCACACCACATAACTCGACAGCGCAAGATTTAAGTACACATGATGGAATTCCACCAGGTCCTGGCGCACAACAATATTTTAGAGAACTCAACCCATTAAATATGTCATCTTCCGAAATTACCAAGTTAGGAATTGAGACAGAGTTAGTTATAGGATAAGGGTAGTTTGCTGATAAAAAGAAATTAGCAATCGAAAAGTTTCGTCGGAAATACTCAGCAAAGAGATTTGCGCTTTCAAAATCATCCGAGGAATCAGAGCCATTAAAAGAAACATGAGAGGGATATGTGGATATTTTTCTTTTAGAGTTAATAAATTTAAAAAAGAATTTAGGATTAGCAAACAGAGAGGATTTAATGAACTGAAGGTATCTGCAGTAATAATGGTGGTTGAGGGAGTTAAATCTATGCCTCGCCACCGAGTAAGCGGAATAGTCGAGCGCAGAGCCACTTTTCGAATATTTTTTGAATAGCGAGTTTTTTCTATTCTTGTGATATTTAATTGTCTTATTATACCACGGGGGACACCTGCTTCGAGGTCGACACTGCTTGATCGGAACAGATGCAGCAATAGCTAGATTTAATGTATTGTAAAACGATGACAATAAGCTTTGAATACTACCGGTTGAGAAATCAAGCGTCAGATTTGAAAGACGATGTTTTAGTAACACAATATTGATTTTATGAAAATCATAACATTTATTTAAAAAAGTGTGATTTGGCACATTAAGGCATTTCAACGAACCATCATTCGTATGATGAAAGGAAATGCATAATGATAAGGATCCTCTGGTAAACTAAAAGGTGGACAATGATTTACGTTAATCTCAGAAAAATTGGCAAAGCAGAGATCAAGCTATCTACCATTACAATTCGGGATATGGTTATATTGAAGCAAATTATGATCAAACAATTCACTAAAGAACACAACAGCCCTATCAGATGTTGAAGTAGGAACCAAACAGCCAGAATTATCACTGTTACACCAAGTGACTTGAGGCAAGTTGAAGTCACCCAATGCAACGACCAAATCGGTGGGTCTAGACAGCTTGGCCACTTCACAAATGAGGGCAGAGTGTTTCTTGTAAATGGAGATATCAGAATTTGGGGGAGTATAATGGCAGGTTATAAATAGATGTTTATTAGGCATTTTCGCACGAATGGCGATAAATTCAACGTCAGGAGAAGTGGGAAATTCAATTATATTGAACGGGACTGACGCAGATATGGCAATTAATACACCACCACCAATGCGATTCACTCGATCCTTTCTGAAGACTTGGAAAGAATTATGAAAAAGTTCTGACGAACGAAGATCGGGTTGTGGCCAAGTTCCGGTGAGATGTTTTTCATACGCGGTTAATTAATTAATAATGAGCAAATTTATTTGTGCGTGTGCATCGTGACAACATTCGAAGAGAATAGAATGGAACAAGAACTCAAACGTAGAATGTTCCTGCACTTCTAAGCATTTACGTCAGAACGTGTGGTAAAACTTTTGAAGATGTACCTACACAATTTCCAAAGATTCTTCTAATACAAATTCACTTACTCGTATCAATGAGTAAATTGCACGTAACACTGAAGGGTTGCTTATATATTTAGAGACCGTAGGTTTGCGACGGCCGCCTTGTCTAACTTGAAGGTGAAATGAAACTGATGCTTGAAATTGAAATTGTCCTTATTGTCCTGGTTGACACTTAATAAATATTTGCATATTATATAGAAAACCACTCCGCTTTTTATCGCTTTTTATCATACTGTTCCTTTCTCTGGGTTTGTTTTTAAGGAGTTGGGTTGACATTTAACTCATTCGTTAAAAAAAGGTCTCAATCATAATATCGTCACGACAGCAAAAGTGTTAACCGTTGTTTATTATTATATAGACATATGAGAGAACGCCGCAATAGACAACGTTTGAGAAAAGCTGTTACTTATGTGTTAATCGTATACTTTATCCACCCTGTTCCTTCTACTTATAATGATTGATTTCGCACTTGTCTTTTTTTATAAAAATTCAAATTTTACTTCCGCGATTTTTTTATTTTCGTTCTGAAATATTTTGCTTGCATTTAGCTATTGTTGTGCTTCATCAATTTCGTTGTTTATAAGCTAAAGTAATAGGCAAGATGTAGCAAAACAAGTAAAAAAATTTAATTCGACAAGACCGCTCCCTAAATACCTTACACTTGCTTCGCGCAATACAATGATACATGATAAGCCTTACATAGGGCGATGTCCAATAAGTCGATATAGTTGATCCAAATTTGGTGTAGCAAATATTTATGCCAAATTATCTATTATAGATTTAGCCATGACAAAATCTTAAATCTTTTGCTACAAAACTGTATATTTGGTAAGAACCGTTGACATGCGTTGACATGCTTGGCCCAAATTTGATGCTATTAAGTTTTATCTCAAACTACTCTTATGCACCTTTTATAAAAGGTTTCAGTCTTCGGTCAAAACACGTGGAGGAGCCAAATTTCTTCAAAATATCTCAAAAATTACGTTAAAACACAATAAAATGTGGATAGACGTTAGAGGGAGAGAAAAATTTAGGACGATTTATGCAACGATTTTAATTTGGTGGGCATAGTAAAAGGTGCATCACAAAATTTCTAATAATTGCTTTGATGCCTATTAAAATTAGTGCTACATTAGCACCATAATATGCGCATTTACGTTTGTTTCTCCCTTCGAATTATGAATTTTATATGCACGAATGTAGAATTATTTTAGTATTTGTAATTATAGTTATAATTATAATTATTTTTATAATTACAGAAATATAAATATATTAGAGAATATATATATATAATCGACTTCTTTCCTCGAATGTCACGATTCAGCTGCCGCTGCCCCGCAAAAGTCTTGCTCAAACGAGGCAGGCAGTAACAGCTACATCTTCGTTCTTCATGATATTGAATAAATGCTTCATATCTTCTTACAAATACATTTGAAACTTTGTGATTTTAATATATTACACATTAGCCATTGTTCGTGAAACGTTAGAGTATATTTGAAAAGCATTTTACGATAATAATAAAGCGGAAAATTATGATATAAATCGGTTGAATAAATACGATCGAATATGATAAGAAATGCGTTTAGCAAAATCAGCCGAACTTATCCGCAGTATGTCAGTATCGATCAACTATTAAGTGGTTATTCCATTAAAATTTAGAATTGCTTATGCTTTGTCAATACCACGAATTGATGTATGTATTGTGAATGCGATATCGATTGCATATATAAATTTCAGGATGATAAATAATGTCTTATTAATGTTTAGCTATTTAGCAAAAAAACGTTATTTGCGTTAAACAAAATTTCCGCTTTAACAACACTGGTTTTTCATTGTCGATTTAGTTGAGCACGGCGTGTCATTTACTTTCGGCGGTGTCATTTACTTTCGGGTGTGAGATGAATCCAATTATATTTTAAAATAAAACTTCAATGAAAATCCTGTCGAAAGTATTTATTATCTCATCTGCAATTTCTATTAAATTAATGTGTGTGTATTCTACTTGAAAATATTTTAAATGAAAACCATGTTGGATTTATATTGTTTAACGAATTTTATTGATTATTCTCTGGCCGTTCACCAACCACTGAAGCACAGCAATCGCATCAAGGTAAACAGAACAGAACGCATTTAACGCAAATGGGTCGTAACATATCAAGTAACACTTTTCCTTTCTTCATATATTCTTACTGTAGTACACTTGTTTCGATATATCTGATAATTATATTGTGTTGGGAGCTACGTCGGGTTCTTTATATTTGTTCAATCGTCAGGGTAAATTTTTACTACTCATACCTAGTAAACATGGCGTGGTGAATCATCTGTCTATATCAGCTAATGAAAAGTACATAGCATTTTCAACGACACGTTCCGTGGTGTGTGTATATACTGTGAATTTGTCAGCTCAGGCGACACCTCAGGTGATATTTACGAATTTATGCAGTGACCACTCCGTGCAAGTGACCTGCTTGCACTGGACCCAAGATGAGAAGCAATTCTATTACGGCGATTGCAAAGGTCAAGTTAACCTAGTTTTGTTGTCTACATTTATGGTAGGTTAATTGGCTTATGACTTGCTATATAACGTCCAATTAACGTATTGAAAATAGGGTACCAGCTTACTAAATATGTCCATACATCCTATACTCTTCCTGGAAGCTCCAATCGTACAAATAGACGATTTCGAATCCCTACTTTTAGTATCTAATAGTTCAAAATGTATACTGTGCAATACGGAATATGAGGAATATAAACAGGTATTTTATTGTTGCAATTTGCCAATGGTATCTATTTAAAGTCATATTTTATTGTTTCAGATTGGGAATAAGCCACGCGATGGTATGTATGGTGCTTGCTTTTTTATTTCTTCAAATGAGGCTCAACAACCATCGCGTATCTATTGTGCACGCCCCAGTTCACGCATATGGGAAGTTGATTTTGAAGGAGAAGTTTTGCGTACCCATCAGTTCAAATTAGCTTTAGCCTGTCCGCCCACAAAAATCCATAAATCGCAAGACGGAGACAATGACAATTTGGGTTCTGATAACGATCCCAACGACGAGATGTTAGACTACCAACCGCAAGCTTTAAATTTTGCAAAGCTTCTTAAGTTTACACAAGACTTTTTGTTAGCACATACAGAGCTAGGTATTTACATTTTCGACGTACGCAATTCGTCAGTTGTATTGTGGTGCAATCAATTTGAGCGAATTGTCGATTGTCGAGCAGCATATGGAGAAATTTGGGTATTTACGCAAACAGGTACCCTCTACTCTATGCAAATGCACTCCCTGCAGAATCATGCGTGTTGTTTAGTGCGTCAAGAAAAATTGCTCGAGTGCGCTTGGATTATGCGTAGAAATGTAAGATATTTTGCCGATAAAGCCCGTGAAGATTTCGAGTTGGGTTTGCTTAACGAAGTCAAAAACTTTTTGATGGAACGTCATCAATATGAGTTGCTTAATGATCTCTCCGTAATATTTGATGCTATTGCACAATGTGAGGGTAATGGTGACAATAATAGTTCTGGCGGTAGTTCTGGTACGGCGGAACGCAGCTCTAGTTTAGCCACCGGCTATCAATTACCCAGACCGCAATCGAAGGAAAATTCACCGCAAGGTGTATACGTTCTAGAAAACTCATTTTGTGATAATCTTAAACCGCCGAAAGGTGAAAAGCATTTTAAGGATGCTTTACTTACCGTAACGGGAAAATTTGGTAAAAATATAATTAAATATAAATTTAATATATTCCAAGAGGAGCAACAGAAGCTGGTACAAGATCTGATACCAGCACATGAAAGATCCTTGCCTTTTAAAGATATTAAAGCTCTATACGAGAATGATGATGAAATTGTCTGCCGTTCTCGGAAGTCATCTTCCGTTCACAACACTTCACAGAAATTGAAAGTGGCTACGACGAGTCAACACATTACTGCCGAAGAAAAAACAATTTACAATCTGTATTTGATCTGTAAAAGCTCAAAATTCAGCAACACCAATTTTGTGGAACGTTATCGCACTTTATTTGACGAATATACTGCGCCAGAGTTAATACGTTTGCTGGAGAAACTAACACAAGTGATGATTGATCACGGCGATGACCCGGAGCAAGCGCAGCGACACTGCTATGAAATGTACTTTCAGTATCTTAACCCGGAGTTGATATGGGAAATGGACAACGCCTCCAGGGACTACATAACTGAAGGATTCATGTTGTTAAACGCTTGCGACGACATAGTGCGTTGTGACAATTGCATGTTTCCATTGAGATTTGATAACTCATGTTCATTTCATGAGTTAGGATCAGTGCTGTTGCGCTACTACTGGTCACGCAATGAACAAATCAAATGCTTTGACGTATTGACTCGTGTACCAGCATTATTTGATATACTCGCCCGACTCTATTTAGCCGAATGTAATATGGAAAAAGTGTTACCGATAGTATTAAACTATGGTCAACCGGAGCTTCTAATAGATTTGGGCAAGAACTTTTCCATTGTTTCGTGGTCTCGGTGCTTTGAACAATTTGTTGAATTGCAACAGGGTAGGCTAACGTGTGTTAACTGTGAATGTCTAACGAACGTGGAAAATGTTAATCGTCATTTCTTCTATACGTGGAATTGTTTTTTGGGCATTTTAATTGAGCATATGCAGGCACAGGATTTGTTGGCGTTAATTTTCAAATGGTCAAATTATATACCCAATGATGCCATAGATCGTGAATTCTACTCACGTTGCCTGTTAAAGGGCTGACTAAGAGATCGTTAAAGAAAGGAGGTAACTAGTCCATAGAAAGTATAATTAACACACTGAAATCTCAGTTTTTAAGTAAACAAAGTATTAAACATTTTATTTAAATAAGTTTAATGTAAATTTAGATGCAAATATTCTTGTGTGAAATGAAATTTATTCCTCATTTTATTCAAATACACCTAAACATTCCTTTAATTGTTATAAAAAAAGTTAAAACAGCAAGCATTTATTTTGTTAAAAAAAAAATAATATTTTGGTTTTCGAAATAAAGTTATACAAAAGTAATAAAAAATATGCCGGCTGGTCTATCTGGCGCCTTAGATTTGATTGCGTACATCGTTCCCTTTATGCAAAAAAAAAAAAATAAAAAAAAATAGAATCCAGCTCGGTTTGGCGAAGTGATCGAATATTCCTTTCCTCGGTTAGCAAATTTCTGATTTAAAATTTGTCTCTTGCTTTTACGAGTTGCCGTAAGAGTCTTCTTGTATGGATTATGGGTCATTTATCTTTTTCAAATCAATCTAGCTTGTAACAGATTTCCTATGACGACATTTTTTGAAATATTCCACAACCCTAACATTTTTTTGTGCAGTTTTTGTAGGCTCTATCCGCTTCAATTGAGGCAATAATTTCTGAAAAATAGGTATGTTTAAACGTTCGGAAAGCTGTTAAATTCTTGTTTTAAAGAGTCAAACGTAAATGCTAAACATATTTAAACCTGTTTATATCTACGTTATTAAGTGTAGTTAACGAGCAGAAACGTGATATGTATGAGTTTTTACGTTTATTTTCTAATTAAAGCGTTAAATTGTCAAGACTTTAGTTTGAAACTTTAAACTTTAAATTTCGGTTTATTAAAATTCTTGTGCCATGTTTGAAACTCAAATTAACAGTTACCAGCATTTACAAATATGAAGTAGCTTATATAAATGACTTTCAATTCTGGTTCTATCTACGAGATGCTGGAGTACACTTACTATGCGATAATAGGGGCATATCAATTTGTGTTCGCTATCTTCTACTATAAAGTATCGAATAAACGTTAAACTGTCCAACAACTAGTGTAATTTCTTGCCTAGCTTAACTGTTGTATTTCATATAAATATTTTCTATTTTGTTTCTTCACATTTACATTATGACCTTTGTTTATGAAACTGCTATCATTAGTTATAATGAGGAAATGTCCTTCTTTCCCTTTTACCATATTATTTATTTACCTTTAAAAATAAAATCTCAAGTATATTATTTTCTAAACAAACATGTTTTTTTACAAATTGTGTTATATGAGAATAAATATATATGTAATGAGTAACAAAATCGTCTTTCTTTCAAATTTTTGATATCTACTGTAGGAAAATGCGTAGGCGCTTGTTTTTCTTGATTTTTTTTTTGTCAATCGAGTGAGTTCTGATTCGAGTTGGTAGCGATTAATAAATAAAATGAATAAACAAAACGAAAAAAAAGAAAAATTTTTTATTTTTACAATTTTGGAATAAAAATCTTATACATTGCTGTTAGTAAATTTTTGCACAAAAAGATTTTCAAATGAATTCATATCAATTAATAATAAATAGAAAACAATTGAAAAATTTGTTAAAAACGTTACGGACGGGTTTTAAACTGTTGAGAGATACCAAACTGTTGCGGATACCACAAATTCCTGTACGACTGCGTGGATCTGCGCAGCAGAACTCAAGAATTGCAAAGATTCAGTGATTTTTTCCAGAACCACTCCAAGCCATAAAGAACAACGAAAAATCTTCTGTATCTCCTATCGCATTTGAAACATAGACTCCCAATAGACTGCAACACATGTTCAAGTCCTTCAAAATGATTGGTCACATCACACACAAAGATTGGTAATTTAAAAGTTATTGTTTAGTTTTTTTCACAAATGTACATTCGGCGAGTTTTTAGATGGGCGAGTTAAATGTTATTGTTAATTAAATATATTATTTTGGCAATATGTTAATTAGTATTAATTTATAGTCCATATTATCTAATATAATCATTAAATATATGTTTTGTAATTTATTATTCATGTTATTCATTCTAATTATAAATGTTTTATAACTAATTTGCTTTGAATGTTACTGTCTGGCGAAGTAAGTTTACACATTACACTACACTTCCACTTGCATCACATAAAATTATAAAAATTCTGTAGGGCAAATTTCTCTTGTGAACCCCCCAATTTCGGCGAGCTAGTCAGATTCTGTTTAGAGCCCTTTAAGTATGTTACACTACCACCTTTATTTTAGAAAGGCTAAAAAAAAAAATTACTCCTCATTTCTGGGGAATACTTATGGAAATCGTTACTACATATCTATTGCAGTTTAGGGAAAATGACCAAAAAACCCTGACTGAAGACGCGTTTTCAGATTATATTGTGCTGTAGGTGTGCCGTCTGAACGATTCCGTTCATTCCTAACATCAACCTGCATGCAAGAACTTCGAATGTTGTTGCCAAATATGAAATCGATATTTATTTGTACGGCCATGTTTCCTGCATCTCTTACGAAGACGACAGCTGAACTTGTTTAAATCGTTTTAGAAATAAATTCTGAACAACTATAGTTACGTATATATATAGTCTGAGACTTCCTTCTGGAGGTTGTGAATGCTTTGATAAAATGAATACACACCCTCTCCTTCGATGGCGGATGTACAAATTATAGTCAAGAGAGAAGCAAGGAATTTTAAATACGTTGATAAAACCAAATATATCCATTCATTTAAGTACAATATTTTTTACCGGTGTAAATACACATACACAGCTATAAATGAAAATGCAAGCGCATATTTTTTTCCTCAATTCTTTGTCTGGAGCACAATCCAGTCCACACGTCCTTCAAGAGATCCTTAAGAGTTTTTATAATCTTGTAGGTATTATATTAATTTTTCGATGAATTTTCTATTACTATGTAAATTAATGGACGTATCGTGGGGTAGCGGATTTTGCGCAAACACTACACGTTCCAATGACGAATGGCACTAAAGGAAAACACTTATCTGAATCGAAAAGTTTAAGTGCAAAATACAAAGCCGGGTTTATATCAGGTGTATGTCACAGTGATGTTCTCTCAAGCGCGCCAATATCTAAAGAACATGTTATATTGATTAATGGTAGATTTTCTCCTTTTACTGTTTTTCTTATTTGAATTTAATACATTTTTCAATGCTTTCCGGGCTTCTTAAAAGGGAAACATTTTCTGTCAAAATATGACTTATCTGTGGATTGTCGATGTGTTCGTTTTTATATTTTGAACATTTAAAATAATATGAATTGTAAACAAACTAAAAACTGAATCCATCGCCCGATATTTCAACTTGGCAATGCTGTTTAATCATTTATTTTCATTCTGTAGGTTGGCAAATTTATAATTGTAATAAAAAAATTGTACGTTAACAAAATGTGAAAGTGTTTCTTTAAATGACATTCTTATGTCCTATCGGATCGTAATATCCAGTGAGGTAAACATTCCAAAATTTTTAGGAAGCCTTGTAATGATATAAGGAAATTATATCAAATAGATGGCGACAAAATTGCTCGAGGGCGGGCAGTTTTGCTGGGGCAACATAATGCTGAAATTAATTCCAGTCCATCATTCCCAAACATATCCTCATACGGGAACCCTTTACCGCGATGCCGCAAAGATGATTTTAAACCTCAAGTACGGATAAATCTGCGTACAGTTATATTCTTAGCTGGCATGAAGGTGTAATCGCGCATAAAAAATTTAAAATCAATTTGTAGAACGTTTGTCTACCAAGCCCTTCAACTAACGTTTTTATTTCACATGTTCACAACCCTCGTTTGGAGGCGCAAAACGACGGTATGGTCCGCGGTTCGAATAGCCACGAGGAGGACGGTTGAATGTAAGTTTTAATGAATAAAGAGCATGTGTGGCGCGTATTGATTCTACTCACGTAAACGTAAAATCTCCTAATGAAAACGGGGAAAATTCAAGCTGTTATTTAGTATAAATCATATAGATTGCCTAGAAATCTTCAACTTCGACTGTAGCCATTATATTTTGATCTTCATACAACGTTTCATCTAGCGGCCATGTCCGAAGTACAAGACAACCATTTCTGTAGCAATTGAAGCTTTTTCCAACTTGATATCATGTAATTCCGTTATCTCTTTTGCTAATGTACTTATATCCAATTTACCTCCTTCAGTATAATTTCGTGATGATACGATGTATTGCCGTCATGTCTTCAAAAACTTTCGTGACGAGGAATCCTCTCTTTTTGGAGGTGGCAATGTTCGTCCTTACTTCCCGGACAAGAACCCTTATGTTTCCTCCTTTCACTATTTTTTTTCCTGACAATAAGTTCAGAGTTTACTTTTAAACACATAAAAATATTCGAATAATTTTTTCTTTTTTTTAGATGTTGGGTTAAGATGGACGAAGCCAATTATTGGCAAGAAATATTTATAAAAAGCAAAAAGACTGCGGCCATATGTTAAGATCGTTGAGCTGTTCAAAGTGATGTGAGAAAAGTGTTGTGGACTTTGTCTGAAAAAAGTATGATTTATAGAAATACCGTGACTTAAAAAGATAAACTCGCTTTTCTCATAAAGCAACTTAGTTCTCCGAGGTGTCGCACTTTTTTCGCTAAAGAGATCGAGAAAGCCCCCATATAATTTGAAAACGCCAGAGGAACTTTTAACACTATTAAGTCTGTGATATCTGAAAATTAGATATATTATAAGCCTCACAAACATCACATGGTACAGTAGGAATCATATTAAAATGTACTTTATCATAACCGTGGCCACTTATGACTCTATAAAGAATGTTGGTTTCCTAGGAATTAAAGCCAGCCCCTTATAGGTTAAATGCGGGATTTATTTTATAGAAAAGGCGATTGGATTTGGCGCCCGCAATCCCTTTAATTCATCATTTAGTTGCTGGAAGAATCGCCCCTATTGCTTCATTGGGAGTATATTTTTTTATTGAACGAAAATGTACCATCAAATTGAGCCTTCCTTGAAAACGAGTTTTTCATTTACAAAAAAGTCCCAGCTATCAGGTGTCCAAACAAGGTGACAGTCATACACATGAGATTCATATGATGTTCTGTTCGTAACAAATACATACTGATTATTTGCATATCATTTATTTATTAGAAGCAGAGATGGCTTACCATCAGAAAAAACGATACATTTTTTGTGGCCTTCCATTGTAGCTACATTAACGGCATGTCTGATGGCAAGCAATTCAATAAAAGTCGAGAAAGTCTCTCCGTGATTCCGATTTTGTACGCTTTTTTAAATATACGCTTCACTGCCGGGAAGTTAGATCCCTTATGTCTAGCGGAAACGTCAGTTGCACATATATCATAGATGTTGTTGTAATAAAGAAAAAGATTTTCTTGACAAAAGAACCTCGTATTCTTCCTCTATAGATCCTCATTGCCTCTTAGTAGAGATCGGTTCAAGGATGTTCTGAAAGACACTATATTTTTTAGTAACAAAATTCCAGAGACGGATTGAATTTATCTCGTCAAAAATATGACGGAGTTCTTGATAACAAAGATGTAGCTGAAAGAGACAGTATCACTGAGAGACATTACTTGCTGGAAAAAGGAAACATTCATTATTTTCACCTTAATAAATTCCTCAGCGCTACGAAGAGGAGCTCTTTCGGAGAAGGGTGATTCACCTGATATGGCACTGAGGATATGTTGAGGAGATGAGGGGGTCAGCCCAGTACGAAGTTTCAACAGTCTATTTCCGAATGTTTGTATACGTTTCTCAATATAATTATGTAAAATGTGCAATTGAATTTGCATTTTAGACCTGACGAATGCTTTGTATATTGTCAAAGCTTTTTTGACTTGATTGTTAGCCATTAGTTTGATGATATTGCACCCATGTCGACAGTCTTTGAAGGTTTTCTCATAATGTTCACGAAGAGTTCGGCTGTCATATAAAATTCTGGCTAGAAATCGAAGAGAATTCACCTTCAGTTCCTTTGATAAAGAGCCTAATTTCGCGTTTAGAACCTTTGGCAAAATAAGCAGTATTTGTTTTACTGGGGTTTAAATACAAATTAAGATCGGCGCATGCACCGAAAAAAAGATTAGCTTTTATCGAGAGATTATTCACAGCCACCGAAAAAGGTGAATCCGCAAATACAATCAGGAAATCACAAAGATCATGCAAAGTATAGATTGAAGAGCGTGAGGCTTAAGCAACTGTCTTGTGGAATACCACGGTATACTTCAACTATGTCTGTACCCACTACTAACACACGCCTAGTTAAAAAATTTAGTATCCACAGACGTATTTGAAGAGGAAACGGTTTTTTTAAACTAGCTGCGAGAAAAGATAGTTCATTAAAGTACGTATTCGTCGAACTGGAATAGTATTCACAGTTTTCAAAAAATCCATTGGACTCTCCTTAACAATGACATTTATAATCGTAATGAATGCATGGATTAGCGAAATGGGTCTAAAGTTGTTTAAATCGTTTAAGTCTTTACCTGCTTTAGGAATAGGAACAACAAATCCAAGTGAGCAGACCAGCAGTTATTAATTGCATGCATCAGAACAATCAAGCCCTCAAAATATCATATTTAACTCTACCGTAACCTGTAGCGGTGGCTCTTTTTGTGCAGTGTACAACATTCATTCACGTCAGGAGAACGTTGTGTTGTTAAGACTAGTGAAAGGAATTGAAGGTTTTGCAATTTGATTGACACTTGGAATGCAGCTCTTGAGGATATCTATGTATCTTTTATTATCATGCTCGTTCCATTCAGCGCAATCATTTAATTTTTCACTAAAATGTATATAATTCCAGAAATCACATGAGTGACCATTCCTCCACAAGCCTTTAATCATGACAGCCTTTCTAAGTGCCGATCTCCATTCCTTCAGTACTTTCATATATTCATTGAAATTGTGTGGATAAATGTTTTTACTAATTTTTTCCTTACAGCTTTATATTTACGAAAGAGTATTGACAGGGAATAGTTCCACTAAGATTTAAATGTGAAATACTCAATATCAGAAAAATTGGTACTAACGGACTTCACGTTGTATTGAAAAATGTTTTGAATGAATAATAAGTTAGATGAAAGGTCAACTTTAGACAGACGATCCATAAAGAATTTGGGTCCAATGAAATTTTCAGAACTTACGCAATTTGTAATAAAATGGGAGAGTATTAACTTTTGCCAATTGAGAGTATTCCAGATGAATAACAAAACAGTTGAATTAGAGAAAGTTAGATCCAATACACTACTCACCGTACGACCACTTTGATTACAATAAAGGGTAGGATTACCATTATTTAAAACTTTAACCTTGCTGGCACTGATGGCATTTACGAGGATCTTGCCTTGTTGAAATCTTCAGCTAGAATCACATTTTGTTCATCATCAAGTTACATAATCTTCAAATCTCATCGCGAAAAGTTTGTGCACACTACTAGATGGAAAGTAAAATAATGCTATGAAAAGATTCGGTTTAAGACAGAATTGAAGGGAATAAGTCTGCATTTGATACCTTTCTTAACTTCAAAAAAATTGACATCTTTCAGAAAAAGTTCACGTCAGGTGCAGAAAACGATATTATTCGAGTTCAAGTAAAAAACCAAAAATTATAAGTAAGCCGAACACTCTGGATATTATGTTGCAAAAAAGAGATCATAATTTAAATAAAAAGGCATATCAGAGGATTTGCTCGAGGAACTAGGTACATGATCACAGCGAAAATTAGCAAAATACGAAATTTTTTCTTTAAATTCATTAATGGGTCATCGGCGGGATAAACCGTCTAATCGCAGAGATTAATCTTTCCAATTCAGAAAAACACAAATCATTGGCAATTGAGATCTTGCTACAGACGGTTTCGGAGAAGGCTCTGAAATAATAGATTTCCTTTCAACAACAGCAACATATTTTTTTCGTTAGAATTTTATTTACATCCTCATTGTCATTCTCTGAAGAAATTGTAGACGAGCTCGTCAATGAAGGGAAGCCGTCATACGAATTATCGTGAAGATATTTAAAATAATTGGAAGAATAATTTTGTCTCACTTCTGTATAAGATAACTTTTTAATGGCTATTACCTTATTGAGGTCTAATTCCCTCTTTTCGGGAAAGATTTACTTATTGCATTGTGCCCATTTAAACCACCAGACAGGCACCTAATCATTTCGCATTTGTCAGCGCATTAAGAGCTTTTTATAATTAAGGCAACTGCTCTCCTTCGCCTTACAAAATTTAGAAATATTACTGTATCTACTATACTTAAAACATCGTTTTACGATGGGAATGAAGTAATCAACCGGGAGGTTACAAAAATTTAACTTGATCGACTTAGCGAGGAATTCCCCTTTACAACTAATTTTTATACTGGTCGTCGGTAAAAATTCATCTTTGCTGTTAGCAAAAAAGTAAAACTTTCTAATGTATATTTTTTTACAAAGTATGCAAATGAAATAAGCATAGTTTTTCACTTCAACAAGAAATCAATAAAAAATTATATCAATTATTATTACTTTTTACTTTAGCTTATTTTTCTTCAAAGTGAAATAAGCGAACTTTTTTATTTTCCCCTTTTGTCACTAATACAGAAAATACACGTCACAAAAAATTTTCAGCTGCCGTTTGTTAAAAAATGTCGTGTTTTTTCAAGTGCTGATTGTGAACTAAAAAAATTGAAATAAAAATGAATTCATAAACCACATCTTTCATTCCGCATTTTTCATAACTACATAAACTAAGAGTAAAGGAGCACATGTTTTTTGCCTACGATTGACATGATTGCTTTTACCCATGAACCAAAAAATTATTTATGAGGCGTTAACGTTGGGGCACTTATTATTTGTCCTTTTGTTAGCTAGCAAAAGCAAAACCATAACAACCTAAATAAAAATAAAGTTATGTAAAATGTTTCATAAAATGAGATGAAGTGAAATAATTTCGTAAAATTCATATGATTTCACAGTTTCGTTCGTTAGGAAAGCTTTGCATATCTGAGTTTGTCTATAGGGAGTATAATAATGTCTTAAAAAGATATGTGAATCAATGCTAGTTTTCTATCATATAAATAAGAGCTTATTTTTTAATTTTCACAACACATCTGAAAGCGGATTTATTCTTCACATTTTTTATTTCGTTACAATCCAATGTGAAAGCGCAGAAGATGCGCCGGCAGCGTCAATTTCATTTTTATAAGAAAGTTGCTTTTGTTATGCACCGATGATGATTATGTATCGCCAATAGATGTAACAACAAATGCAACAAATATATATTTTACTCTCTTTTTCTGAGACAAGTCCATCTTTGCTATTTTAATGCACATATGGCGAGTAGCTATTTCTATGAAAACCCGTCAATTTGATGGGTTGCAGCCGTAAAAATGAAGATAAGAAGCCGAAATTTGTCACAAACATTCTTTGATCAAATAAGAATACGAAGTTAAGACGAAATTAAAACAATCTCCCAAAATAACGAGAGTTTTTTAAAATTTTGGTCTATAATTATCGGTTTTAGCGGTTGTGCGCTGAAATAAAGAATTAACAAAAATGAGAAGATGGTGGGTAGGATCCACGGGCAGAGGTTTTGCAAGAAGATGCAAAAAAAATCGTATGGTATTAGACTTTAAAAGAGAGTTTTGCGTTTTTATTATTGCTGTAAAAGCAAAAAAAAAAAATAAATAAATAAAATAAACTGTACCGATTAAACTGAAAAAAATATCAAATATATAAAAATAAACGTTAATTAACTGAAAAGTAGCGACGATAAAGCTCGTAATAGAGGTAGTGTACCAAACGCAAGATGTAAGTGATAAACGCTTCCCGGACTTTTGGAACAAAGCGGCGAGACGAAAAGGGTGAGCACTATTTCCAAAGAAGTGGCCATGTTCGGCAAGTGCAATACAAAAAATTTACAAGCAGTTGTATTCAACTTCTACAGTGTTCAGCAGAAAAGCGTAAAGTGAAGTCGAGTTCGTTGAAAGACCGTCTTGCTAAAGATTAAAAAAGAAACATAGCTTAGTTTTCTAATAGCGATAAATGAAAGTTGTAACGTTGGCGTAGCTAGCTACTGCGGGTTTCTCTACGTACATTTTTACTTTTGTTGTTTGCGAAGAGGGCAACAAATCATGAAATAGCGGAAAACCGCTAGCGTGCCATCATTTTACAAAAAAAAATATAAGCAAATCTATGTATTGTTAACAACTAACGAACGGTTTGAGCACCAAAGAGCAAGAAGTAATCACAATAAATATGATAGAAAAATTAGTGTGAACACAAACAATCATTTTGTAATTAGTTGGTAATGAAGCAAGGATTTTAAAAAAATGTTGGGACTTGGTACCATTATTAACTGTTCTATTATTTGAAGATTGCTCTTCAATATAATACACTTTAATCATAAATTGAAAGCCCGTGTAGTGTAAAGTAAAATAATGTAATATGGAATATAAAATTAAGTAAACAGCTTCTTTATTTAAAATAAGTGGTTTTTAGTTCTTCTTCTTGCTTTATTTGTTAGCTTACATTCAAATTTCCCACATAGGCTAGTAAGAAGTAGAACAATTTTTCGAAATGCGCGATTTCATTGCTTTCGGGATGGTCCTTCAACTTTGCTGACCCTTTGTGGCAATTGATAAAACATATGGTTTTGTAAGCACTGTGTATTGTACAAACAAATAAAACAAAAACAAGAAAACGTAAGAGAGAAAAAAGGAATGAAGAAAAAATGAATATAGTTTATTTTAAATCGATTTTTTGATTTATTTTTATTTTGTAGTATTATTATTATTATTATTATTTTAATTTTAGACTAATGAAATGAATTCTTAGACTAAAAAAAGACATTGATCACTAGCAACACAGGCTATCGGCTCTAATTAAAAAAAAAAAAAAAAAAATGTAATATTGAAAGGAGAGCAAGTTAGCACTCCCCTAGACAAGGATTGAATCACATAAAAGTATTTTGTAGTAATTTAAGTTTTCTTTATGTTATTCGATTTGAAATTTCGGTTATACTTGATATTACTTTACAAAGTGTTAAAACCAAGTAACAAATGCAATTTGTTTTGAATTTAAAACAGGGCTTCCGAGCCAAAATGCTTACGTCCTAAACACAATGGATAGGTTACTCCGTTTTTCAGGTTGATAAGTTTCACAATATAAGTAAACACAATGCGAAGGCCTGGTACCAATGTTATTTTGTAAGAAATAACAAACAAATACAAATTAATGTAAATGGAAGCGAAAAGATATGCTTTGCGAACAAAACTAAAGAACATAAATGTAAACCATAAATATATCAAAGATAACGATACAAAAAATTAATGTAAGAGAAAATTACATGTTTGATTGATTGTTGAACTAAAAAATGAAGAGAATGAGTGTAAAAGAAATAGCACAGTGACGGACCCCACTGACGCAGTTTCAAAAGTATTCGTTTCACAGATTGGTTTCTAATATTTCGTCGTTTACTTTAAAAGAAAAAAGATTTTGCAAATACGAACGGAGAACTAGATTGGAAGCAGCAGGAAAGTTCTCTTTCAATTTAAAAAGACACACTGGATAACAAAACCAATTAAGAGACTGCCTCATTTCCAAGAACCCTACTGAAGAGGACTGTTTGTTTTCAAACGCGTTGCTTGCTGCCTTAACGATTCGATGACATTGTTCAGGCGTACCCCGATTATGGCGAAATCCAAACTGATGTTCAGGCACTGCATTATTATCATTCAATATTGGCTGTAATCCTCATTGCAGCAATTTTTCAAAAAGGTGGATAGGAGACTTATTGGTCTGGAGAAGCTGACGGCGTTCTCTGATTTAGTCTACCACTTATTCTCGTTATCGGACTCTTTAAAGTCCATTAAAGCAACATTGCTTAATACGCGCGATTTACCTATGTTGTATTTAAACTAGCTTTTATCCTTAAAAAGTCGTTACGTTTCGAAAATGAATTATTGTCAATTTATTATCGGTTGCCAGGCTTATGCATGTTTGCGATGGCTTAGGGGTTCATTTGCAATTTAGTCCTGTACCGGTTGTAAGTGTGGCCCTATGCTGATAGTGTACATGCTTTTTTTTCTTTTTTCTTCTTCTTATTTGTTTTATTATACTTGTACTAAATTTTATTATTAATTAATATAAGTTTTGCATTAAGAGCCGAATGAACTCGACTGTTATTTGTTTAGTTGAGTTTCTAGTATAAGTAGAATAAATAAATAAATAAATAAAGTCTGGGCAACATCATTATTTTAGGGCATTTCCATTGATCTGGTTAATGTTTGCATTAAAATTAAATAGTGAATCAAAGTCAATAGTATAACAGGCAGAACTCTAATTGCTTTATCACATATTTTGCGGTAGAGAGGGAACTTATTGTTTAAAAGAGTTATTTCGCGCTCTACTTTCGTATATGCATTTACTAGGTAAATCCAGTTAGCAATGATTACCAAGAAACATTGTAATACCTCTTTCGTCGTCGGGTGTTGTTGAAAGAAAAAGGTTGAAAGCTAGATTCTAAATGTTTTAGAAAGGGCGGGTGCCTTATTACAATCTGACGTACATCTTGTGCTATTTGAGTCTTCTATTGGTATGTTTCTTTTTGTGTTTTAAATATTTTTTTTCTAAATATTTATCTTTAGGGTTTTTAATATTAGTTTGGGGAAAAAGAAATCCATTATTTTTTCGGTAGATGGCTGCACTGATAGATTTCTCGTAAAGTATCGATCAAACAATTTCAGATTTATGCTCGTTGAAAAGATGACATTTCGCAGTAAAAAAAATTCCTTTGCTGTTTTTTGTTTGGTGCATTCAGTTGTGAGTTACAGCGTGTTAAAAATGGAGGTGAACAAAGAGAAAATTCGGTACATTTTACAGTTTTTCTTTGACAAAGGCGAAAATGCAAGCCACGCGGCTAAAATTGTGAATGGTGTTTATGGTTCCGATACTGTAACAACCAATTATGTGCAATTTTGGTTTCGTAGATTCCGCTCAGGAATTTTTGATGTTAAAGATGCACCTCGTACAGGTAGTCCGGTCGTCGAAAATGTCGATAAAATCGGAGAAATGATCGAAGTTGACCGGCATGTTAGCAGTCGTAGCATCGCTCAGGAGCTAAAAATCGACCATAGAACAGTTTTAAACCATTTACACAAAGCTGGATTGGGTGCCACACCAATTAACAGAAAAAAACATGATGGATCGAATTTCCATCTGCGAAGCCTTGGCCAAAAGGAATAAGATAGACCCATTTATTAAACGGATGGTGACTGGAGATGAGAAATGGATCACATACGATAACCCTGTGCGAAAACGATCGTGGTCAAAGAGCGGTGAAGCACCTCAAACGGCCAGGAAGGTTTTGCTATGCATTTGGTGGGACTAGAAGGGGATTATTTATTATGAGTTGCTTCCACATGGCCAAACGCTAAATTCTGATCTCTACTGTCAACAACTGGACCGTTTGAAGATAGCGATTGACCAGAATCGGCCAGAATTGGCCAACAGGAGAGGTGTCGTGTTCCACCAGGACAACGCTAGGCCACACATCTACAGTGACTCGCCAGAAACTTCGGGAGCTTGGTTGGGGAGTTTTAATGCATCCGCCATACTGTCCGGACTTGGCACCAAGCGATTATCATCTTTTTCATGCATTGCAAAATTTCTTTAATGATAAAAAATTGGAATCTGGGGAGGATTGTGAAAATCGACTACTAGAGTTTTTTGCAAATAGAGACCAGGACTTCTATGACAGAGACATTTTGACGTTACGTTTAAAATGGCAATAAATCATACAACAAAACGCTGCATATTTGACCCAAATCGGACAATCCGAAGCATATTAAATAAAGTCCTGAAGTTCATATAAAAATAATGGTTTTCTTTTTCCCCAACTAATATATTGTAGAAGCCCAAGGCGTACGATCGTCATTGATTGTTGTAGATCGGGTTCCTGGAACAAACGATATTCGTACTGCGATTTAAATTTGTATTATTAGTTGCGATTCTGTTACGCTTCCGGACTTTTCTTAATCTGCTTTTTCTTCCAACGAACTTTCCTTTTTGAATATTCTGATATTTTGCTTTTGATTCAATTAGGGTTTTTCAAAATATGTCTTACGAATCGTATTATTATTATTCAACTAGCTCCGGAAAACGCTAAAGACGTAGCGGCTATGGGCTTTAATGTAGAGAAAACATTCATCTTTAATAATCTAACCTTTATGTGGTAATTGAACTTGAATGAATTATCTCCCTCAATTTAACTTCTAGGTTTATTTTATTGGTCAATATCCATGTATCAGAACATTATAAGTAAACAAAAATGCGCCACTTTTAATTAAGTAAAAATCATTTTTAATTCTCGCGATTCGGATGTTATCGGTAAAATAGGTTTTCCTGCAGCTCAAGCCGCTCCTGCCATTTGCAGCATATTCCCGTTTCTTTTTGGCAACAAAAAAGTGCATTGTTTAGTGCCTTGCGCCATTGATTAACATCCATATTTCCGAATGACTAGAGACGTTTCGGCAAGATTGGGCTATCCAAAGTGCGCTCTTATTCATTCTAGTTTTTTCCCGGCTCTACAAGGTGCCAAATCAAAAATGTCGGCAAATGAGCAAAATTCTGTAATATTTCAAACTAATGCGCTCAAGCAGATAAAAAATAAAATCAATAAATATACCTTCTCTGGCGGCTGTGATACCATAGAGGAGCATACCCGCTGGACGTATTTTCAAAAAAGTACTCATATCAGAGATACGAGTGATTTATGTATATTTCTTTATAAATACTTTTTGCGGATGAAAATTTCCAATTTAGAAGGATATTAGTATATTTTTGCAAGTTGGGTAAAGATACGTGTGCAATAGCAAAAGATGGTAACAAATGGGAATTTTCTAATTCTGTGGCTAATCTTATTAAGAAAGTTCGAGATGAAGATCGCCGAGTAAATGAATTAAAAAGCCAAGAACTATTGTACTGCGGAAAATCCTCGCATAAAACATCAAGAGGAAACAACTGAAATTTGCTGGGAGTTGAGAGGCATAAAACGAAATGAAATGTAGCCAGAAAGACGACATAAGCAATTGCAATCAAGCATCATTATTACATCCGTATCATAATCTTTATTTATTATTTTTTTTATTTGAATGCCATTGTTCAAAAATTCCGAATATAAGTTTTGCTGATTTGTAACGCCAATCTAACGTGGAACGAAAGTAGGAGTCAGAATGAACTGTTCCTCGGATTTCAAAGGAAGTTTACTGGTTTCCGCTTTGAGATTCAAAAGGAAAATAAAGTAAAATATATTGATAAAATTAATGGACTTAGAAAATTTACTTAATCTCAGAAATTTCAAAAAGTTGCCAAAAATAATATCAAATAATTGTTTTCGATGCTTTCACCTATTAGTGCTATAATATTTGCAAAGGGATAAATCAATGCGAAACCAACGAAAAATTTGTGTGAACGACAAAAAGCGGAAATATAGGATTACTAGACATTACTTAACAAGTGTTCTGGCACTGCGATATTCAGGACGTGGGAAGTATATATTCAGGCAAATTGAATGTGGATCAAATTAGCCAGTAAAACAAAGAATTACACAATTTAAATGAACAAAAACATATTTAATTTAATGTGGTAAAATTAATTTTATATATTTAATTTTTTCACCAATTTTTTACAGTTATTGTTCCTTCTTCCTTGCTTAATCGAAAGCTCCGGATAGACCTAAAATGTACATTTTATTATGTCACATATATATTAAATGGGAACACATACTTACATATACTTACCTCCGCGTTGGCAAGGGAAGAAGATTACTCTCACCCCTCAACATTCTTCTCGAGTTGCTCTCTACGAAGACTTGTGCTTAGCGACAAGATCTCGGCATCTATTGGTTTTGCTGCGTGAAATTAAATCATCGATTGATAATGCGTGTTCAGAAAGGGAAAAAATTTTTTCGTGTTCTTAATAGTTTGCTGACT